ACATATTAAACTGTTTATGATTTTTTCTAAACAGATGAATTGGTTTGATATTCAATATTTCTTTTTTCATCAATTCCGTATTTTTATTCAATATATATGTAAATTTACAAAAATAAATTACAAGTGATAAGTAAATTTTTTGCAGTGGTAACAATTAGCAATAATAAAATTTGCAAAAGTCTGTATGAATAAATGATATTTTGATCATTTAGCATCAAAACATCATTTCACTTTCGTCCTAATACTGCAATGAAACTTCATAATCTTTTCGAGCTGAATTGAATTGAAATAAAATCACAAAAATTGTCCTGTAATGAAATTTTCCATGAAAAGCAATGCGGCTTCTGGCAAGATGACATTACCGTACGTAATGCCAAAAAGGCCTGCAAGACATTTTCTCTTCCTCTTGTAAACTAGGCAGGCGTATTATTGCTTGACTAGGACACATGTCCTTGTGCAGTATGAAACGGTCGACGAAAAGCGATATGATATTTAATAAAAAAATAAAAAAGAAAAAAGAATCATTATATTTTATAATGGGTTAATATAATTTTTTATTTTTTTAAATTTGTTCTCATTTTAATTTTATTCTCTCAAATTTCTCTTTATTTAAAATATTGATCCTTATAACATAATAAAAATATGAACTATCTTACTTCTAAAAAGTCTAAATGGTTTAAAATTTAAAAAATTAAAATTAAAATAAAGATAAATTTGAGAAATTAAAGTATTAATCTGACTATTATTTGTGTCAAACTAAAGGAAAAGGACAAATTGGTACGTATACGTCGGGCGTACCGTAATTCAGGGTCTTCAACAATGGAGTCGGTCTTCAACAGCTTCTGTCGCATTTAACCTTCCCTGAAGTAGAAGATTGACCACCAGATGTCTCAATACTCGTTAGTCTCCGGTAGCTGTGATGGGTTTGAGAAGAGGGTGCGAGAGGAAAATTAGAAAGAACGACACTAGGGTCTCATTGAATATAAAATATTGTAAAAAATCCTCAAAAACTTGATAATGAATCTGAAATCAATTTAGTGAGGTGTGAAAAGACATCTCTATCCCGAGTTAGGTGCACTCAACGCTATTGAAAATTGCCTTATTTTTCAATCTGAAAATTGACACTATATGTAGGAAGACGAGAAAAGTCCAAACTTAATTATGTTTCTTTTCCAATTCATATATGAAAATCTCATCCACTCCATTCATGTCAACTATTGACAAAAATTGCTTATATTTTTAGTTGATGTGTGTTTGGTCATTTAAGTTGAGATTTTATTATGAGTAGATAAGGTGATGATCGGTGTTTTGTTTCTAAGCATATTGTGGGTGGGTTGAAGGTAGACTTGCTTTGTCTAGGCATGGTTTAATGAAAATTGATGTGAAAGATAAAAGTTAGTGTGGCTAGAAACTGTTACTGCAAAATAGAAAAATATGCTGTCAATATAAGTTGCGATAGTTATTAATATAACTCTTCTCAGTGATAAATGTGTTGTGCAAATTTATATTAACTGGTTTTGTTAAATTTTTGACACAAGAGCCATGACTTTCTATGCTCTTGACTCATTGGTGGACATTATAAACGGAGGAAGAGGAGGCAATGAAGTAGAGTGAGTAGCCACATGAGGCAAAAGAAGAAAAATAGCAACAAAAAAAACAACAGCCACTTTGAATCTACACAAATGATGGCAAAAGAATTTTTTTTTTTGTAAATAGAAGTGACATAATTTTTTTTTGGTAAATGTCACACAATAGTTTGATATTAGATACATGAAATTGTATTTTTTTAGTGAATTGTGAAATTAGTGTAATTATATATGTATGAAGTTGTAAATAAAATATATGTATGATGTTGTAAATAAAAGTTGACTATATATTACATTCTGATGCATAATTAGTTGTCATTGTTTGTACCCTTCATTATCAATACATCCTTTATCACTTGTCACTCATTACAGTATTAGTTTTCAATTTATGTCCTAATATAAATTTGAAAAAATGTGATTTTAAGTTATATAATATCATACGACATCGTATAATATCATCAGTTCTTTTCAATTAATACATTCCGGTTATAATGTAATATAAAATTGTTATTAAAAGTTAATAATCACTTATATGAAATTATGAAATTACTTGTCATGAACAACATATTCACTTGTTTATAGTTTCAGTGTGACTTGTTGATGATTGCTCTATCAGTTGTTAATTTATTTACTGATATAAATTTTTAAAAAAATGTGAGGTCAAGTTATATAATATCTATATTGATAACATGAGTTTTTTTTTTTTTTGCTGGCCTAAGTTACTTTGCTTGCTGTGGTTTATGATAAGAACTACTTGATCCTAACATATTGAATTTTTTTCAAAATAATTCTTGTGATGTTCATGTCCTCTTGGGGTTATATTGTTTATTTTTTAAAAAAACAAAAAGCAAACCAATTCTTAAAATCACATATATTAGCAGAAAAATTGTCAAGTTATAGTATCATTATTAACAAGTTAAGATACGGATATTGACAATTAACACAAGGAACATTGACTCACATTTGCAATTCTATTATATTTCATTTAAAATAGAATTATTATATCATCTTATATCACATAATAATCAGAATATATTACTAAAATTTATGTTAATTAAATGACATTTTCTTCAAAACTTAAGAGGATTCACAATGATGTCATTGACAAATATAATGTCACCAGCAACAAGTGAATGTGTCATTAATGATAAATGATTTCATAATTTTATATTAGTGATAATTGACTTTTAATAACGATTCTATATCACATTATAAAAACATAAATTAGTTTTGAGGAATTAGTAACACTGTATGACATTGTACAATATTATGTAATGTAAAATCACATTTTTTTTCAAATTTATATCAGTATTAATTAACAACTAATAGTGCAACGAGTAAGAAGTGATGAAGGGTATATTGACAATGAAGGGTACAGATAATGACAATTAATTATGCATTAGAATGTAATATACAGATAATTTTTATTTATAAATTTATATACATATAATTACACTAATTTCATAACCCATTGAAAAAACACAAAATTGTAGATATCCAATATCAGGCTAACTGTTGGTGTGTATTGTAACATTACAAAAAAAATTCATGTCACTTCTGTTTACCCAAAAAAAAAAAAAGAAATTCTTTTGCCATCATTTGTCTATGTTCAAAGTGGCTATTTTTCTCCATTTTTCTTCTTTTGCCTCACGTGGCTGCTTATCTTTCTTCATTACCTCTTATTCCTCCTTTTGTAAACCCCTACCAATGAGTTAAGGGCATAGAATTTGTGTTAAAATTTTAAACAAAACCAGTTAATGTAAACCTGTATAGCATAGTTATCATTGACAAGTTAAAAAGCTATATTGACAACTATCGCAACCCATACTGAAAGCATATTTTTCTAGTTTGTAATAAAGGTTTCTAGCCACACTAACTTTCATCTTTCTCATTAATTCTCATTGAATTATGCCCACACAGAGCAAGCTCACCTTCAACCCACCTACAATATACCTAGAAACAAAACACCCATCATCACCTTGCCTATCCATAATAAAACTCTAATTTAAATGACCAAACACACACCAAACAAAAAATACGAGCGATTTTTGCTAATGATTGACACATGAGTAGAGTGGATGAGATTTTCATATCGGAATGGGGAAGAAATATAATGAAGTTTAGATTTTATTTTTTTTTCTCTTGCTTTCTGTATATAGAGTGTCAATTTTCAAATTAAAAAATAGGGCAACTTTTAGTAACTTTGACACTTTATTAAATTGCACTTAAGTCTATTTGAAACTTTAGGTTCATTACTAAGTTTTTTGAGATCTTTTTATAGTATTTTGTGTTCAATGAGACTTCAGTATCATTTTTCTCAGGAAATTATTTCCTCTCCTTGTTTGGTTAGAAACTTTGGAACAAATGGGAGCCGGAATTTCTCCTTTCCTCTCCTCCTCTATCTTTATTTTGGTTACTATCAAATTGAGAGTTTTTAGGGAGAAGCCAAATGTATTGACTAATTTACGGCATGGACTTTATGATACTCTGTAAATGTCATTGGAGGAAAAAATAAAATAAATACTCAAATGCTTCACTTCATATGCTTTCATGGTAAAAAGTGTTGAAGATGATAAATCACTTGATTTTTTAATTTGATTATTAATAAAGCACTTGGTAAAGATGAACGAAATTTGTTAATTTGATTTTTTAAATATATTATTATATCAATTAGAGATTAAAAATTTTATTATAACATGTTAAAATAAGAGTGAATTTTTATAAATTACACACTTTGAACTAAGCTGTAGATTAATTTATATAGCATGGAAGTGTAAAATAAAATATTTAAGGGTTTGATGGTAAATTCACCACCTCCCAGAAACCAAACAAAGCATTGTTAAATATCCCTCCCCTGCCCCTTCTACAATCCAAACGCACCCTTAATTTCATCCATGAAAAAAAAATGTTTTTGTTAAATAGCGTGTTACAGTGTAAAGATTGAGATGATTAGACACGCACACGCCGCTTCTTGCTTGACCGGGACATTTTATGCAGTAAGACAGTCATGGAAAAGAAAACCGTGTTTTGCCATCAGAAAATGTCACAGAGTGAAACAAGCTAAGAAATCTATGGAACAGATCTGCAGAGTTTAAACTTTAAACCTTCCCAGAATGCTACAATACTCTGACAAATTTCAATGGTTAGAGCTTATTTAGCATTGCTTCAATTTCTCTGTGTTCTTACAAGTCAATTATATGAAGCCACCAGCCAGCCAGAATTACAAAAGTATTATTGCAATAACAGCAGCAAAACAGCAAATAGCACCTACCAGACCAACCGCAATACCCTTTTATCAAATCTCACTTCCAACAAACAAATAGATTATGGCTTTTACAATCTATCTTATGGTAATTACCCAAACACGGTCTATGCAGTTGGGTTATGCAGGGGAGATGTTACGCCAGACTTTTGCCGTAGCTGCCTCAAAATTTCATCATTCCTGCTGCCACAGCTTTGTCCAGATCAGAAGCAAGCTTTTGGGATGTTAGATGTCAAGACTACTTCAACATTAGTACATAGGCCCAATAAATTGATCCACCAGCCCAATAAGTAAAAGCCCAATCAGTAGATTGTAGTGTATCATTTATTTCTCTGGATTCTTCTATTGTACAGAGTGTATAGTACATACGTGGCTCATTTACATGTATTCTAGGGTTAGCCACACTACTATTTATTGAACAGTAAATACAGAGCACAGTGCGCCACATTTTATACATTCCCCTTACTGTTAAAATCTCTTCTTGGTATCAGAGCGCTGAGGCAAGCAGCCATGTCAACCAACAATGAATCACCTCTCTCTCAGCCATCTGGAAATACCAGTGAAGGGTCCTCCTCGGTGTCCGCGTCACTGCTGTCAAAACTATCGGAGAAAAGCACAGCTCTCTCCCAAAGTTGTTCTGTCAAGCTGGACAGAACCAACTATCCAGTATGGGCTCTCCATGTGTTGCCTATCATCCGTGGTCACAAGCTCGAAGGCTACATAAATGGGACAAAGAAGTGCCCTGCTCAATTTATCACCGAAGGAAGTACAACCAAGCTGAATCCCGAGTTTGAAGAATGGGTAGCTGTGGATCAGTTGCTCTTTGGCTGGCTCCTAAATACAATGACCTTGGAGATTTCTTCTGAGATGACAAATGTATCATCTTCTGCTGGATTATGGCTCGCTGCGAAGCAATCAGCTGGAGCAAGAACCAAGTCAAGGCTTTTGATGCTTAGATCTGAACTTCAACGCACCAGGAAAGGAACCATGCGGATGAATGACTACCTGTCTAAGATTAAGGCACTAGCTGATCAGCTTTCTCTCGCCGGGAGTCCCATTCCTCTTCCTGACCTCATCATTCAGGCACTGGCCGGTCTTGATGCAGAATACAACCCAATCGTGGTTCAACTTTCTCATGAAGCCGAAGATCTCAGCTGGCTGGACGTACAAACCTCTCTTTACACCTATGAGAGTCGGATGGACCAGTTAAATCAGCTTTCTCAACTTTCAATCAACACTAATCTGGTTAACTACACCAGAACAGAAGAAAGGAATAATCAAAGGGGTACCTGGCGTGGAGGCCGTGGAAACAGAGGCAGGAGAGGACGTGGCAGAAATACTCGTTTTCGTGGCCGTACCAACAGTGATGAAGACATACCCAAGTGTCAGTTGTGTGACAAAATTGGCCATGTTGTGGAAAACTGCTTCTATAGGTATGATAAGACCTTCTCCAAGTCTGGACCAAAGAAGTTTACTGGAGGCAGAAGCTCGGGATCATATTCTGAGTATGACAGCGCCTATTGGGCCTCCCCAGAAACCGTGAACGATGATGCCTGGTACCTTGACAGTGGAGCAACCAGTCATGTGACAAAGAATCTTGACAAACTTGATGACTCTGCTGTTCCATCTGGTAAGATGAATATAATAGTTGGTGATGGTCATAAAATAGGAGTTGAAAGAGTAGGTTCATCTACTATTCGAAACAACTCTCACAAGAAGGTTAAATTGAAAAATGTTCTCTATACTCCAAAAATCAAGAAAAATCTCATAAGTGTCTACAAAATGGCATATGATAATGATGCTGATGTAATATTTAACTCAAATGGTGTTTGTGTGAAGGATCAGGAAACAGGGCAAACCATGCTTCAAGGCAAACCGAGTAATGGTGGTATGTTCAAGGTCTTAAATCAGCAGGAAGATGGTAGTGCAGCGTTAGTTTTTGTCTCAGAAAAGGAAGATGACAATTCAGTACTTAGGAACCGTATTTTCAGTAAAGAATTCTGGCATTGTAGGCTTGGCTACCCTAGTGAAAAGGTTTTGAATCAGCTCATTAGTGAATGTAACTTGAAAGTAATACCTAGCAATGAGAATGAAAATTTCTTTTGTGAATCCTGCAAATATGGCAAATCACACTCTCTACCCTTTAAAGTTTCAAATTCTCGAGCTTCTAAGCCCCTAGAATTGATTCATACAGACTTGTGGGGACCAGCACCGATTGTCTCTATGAATGGATATAAGTATTATATTCTGTTTCTCGATGATTATAGTAGATACTCTTGGATTTTTCCATTAAAATCTAAGGATGAAGCATTGCAAGCCTTTATTCAGTTTAAAAAATACGCTGAGAAACAGTTTGATAACAGCATCAAAATAGTTCAAAGTGATTGGGGAGGAGAATATAGATCCTTCACTAAAACCTTACAAGATGCTGGGATACAGTTTAGACACTCCTGTCCTCACACTTCCCCTCAGAATGGAAGAGCCGAGAGGAAACATAGACACATTGTTGAGACTGGTTTGACCCTACTTGCACAAGCCAAAATGCCCTTGTTCTATTGGTGGGAGGCATTTCACACTGCTACTGAGCTCATCAATAGACTCCCAACTCCTGTCCTTGGAGGAGGTTCCCCTTATCTCAGATTATTCTGTAAACTGCCTAACTATGAGTCTCTAAAGATTTTCGGTACAGCATGTTATCCTTGCCTAAGACCGTACAATGACCACAAGTTACAATTCAGAACCACCAAATGTGTATTTATTGGCTACAGCAATTCTCACAAAGGCTACAAATGCCTAAATTCAAATGGGAGAGTATATATTTCACGCCATGTTGTTTTTAATGAAACTGACTTTCCTTTTTCAACAGGCTTCATGAACAAGTGGAAGTTACCTGAGGAAGTGATTCACCCACGAGAATTCTTCAAATCTTCTTCCTCCTCTCTACCTCCAGAATGTACAGCACAGGTGACTCCTGGTTCAAGGTCCACTGTTCAGATTACTGAGCTCCCTGCACTACCACTATTGAACTCTCCAAGTAGCATCCCTGCTGAAAATGAACAATCAGAATCAGTCACAGAAAGCCCATCAGATTCTACAGATGAACAACAGTCAACATCTTGCAGTTCGGTACAATCTGGAGGAAGATCTAGAAATCATGAGCAACAGCAAATGCAGGAAACAGTGACTACACCAGCACAACATCATATGATTACTAGGAGCAAAGTGGGTGTTCACAAACCCAAACTTCCCTATGTCGGTACAGTTACAACAATTGCTGATCTAGTTGAACCTACTGGCGTGAAAGAAGCACTGAAATCTCAGGAGTGGCGTCAAGCTATGCAGGCAGAATATGATGCACTTATTAAAAACAATACATGGGAATTGGTTCCCTATCATGGGAACAGGAAGCTTGTGGATTGTAAATGGGTGTTTAAAGTCAAGACTAGTGCAGATGGCTCATTCTCTAAGCCTAAGGCAAGATTAGTAGCCAAGGGGTTTCAACAGAGCCCTGGAATAGACTTCTATGAAACATTCAGTCCAGTCCTGAAAACCTCAACACTACGGTTTATTTTAGCCCTAGCTGTAACTTTTGGTTGGTCTATAAGGCAGCTAGACATAAACAATGCCTTCTTAAATGGCGACCTGTGTGAGCAAGTTTTAATGAAGCAACCAGAAGGGTTTGAATCTGTCCGTTTTCCTAAACATGTCTGTTTGTTAAACAAAGCTCTCTATGGACTGAAGCAGGCCCCACGAGCATGGTTTGAAAAACTGAAGTCTACCTTACTTCACTGGGGATTCGTGAATTCAAAATCTGACACTTCCTTGTTCTTCATCAAAAACAAGAGGTTTGTCCTATTTGTGCTCATATATGTTGATGACATAGTTGTGACTGGAAATTCTGTGAGATTAATGGAATTGTTCATAAAACAACTTAATACTCAATTTGCTCTCAAGGATTTGGGGAATCTACATCATTTTCTAGGAATTGAAGCCCATAGAGATGTTACGGGCTTATATCTTAAACAAGAAAGGTACATCCTGAACATATTAGACAGGTTCGGTATGAGAAATTGTGCCCCTGTACCGTCTCCAATGGTAGTAAACAGACACTATTCCAGAAATGAGGGTAAACCGCTGGAAAATCCTACAATCTACAGACAAGCTATTGGCGCTCTACAGTACCTAAATAATACCAGACCAGACATTGTGTTTGCAGTAAACAAATTAAGTCAATTTCTTTCAGCTCCTACTGAAATTCACTGGCAGGCACTAAAAAGGATCCTTCGTTACCTCAAAGGCACTACCAATTTGGCTCTCCACATACAACCGAGCACACATATGTGTCTTCAAGGATTTTCTGATGCTGATTGGGCGGTGTGTCCAGATGACCGACGATCAATTGGGGGTTACTGCGTCTTCTTCGGTGATTCTCTTATCTCCTGGTCTGCGAAGAAACAGCATGTTGTAGCTCGTTCAAGTGCTGAGTCTGAATACAGGTCTCTGGCGAATCTGGCAGCTGAACTCGCTTGGCTCCAGTCATTAATCGGGGAATTTGGAGTAAGATTAAAGACTCCACCGATAGCCTGGTGTGACAATCTGAGTGCATCGGCCCTGGCCTCAAATCCAGTCTATCACGCTCGCTCAAAACATATCGAACTCGATGTTCATTTTTTGCGGGATCGAGTTCTCGACAACAAGCTCTCTGTTCGGTACATTCCATCCTCAGATCAGATCGCCGATATGTTCACCAAAGCGCTATCTCACTCCAAGTTCTGGGCCTTTAGAAACAAACTGGGCCTCACCGTTTCACCTGGCCCCAGTTTGAGGGGGGATGTCAAGACTACTTCAACATTAGTACATAGGCCCAATAAATTGATCCACCAGCCCAATAAGTAAAAGCCCAATCAGTAGATTGTAGTGTATCATTTATTTCTCTGGATTCTTCTATTGTACAGAGTGTATAGTACATACGTGGCTCATTTACATGTATTCTAGGGTTAGCCACACTACTATTTATTGAACAGTAAATACAGAGCACAGTGCGCCACATTTTATACATTTCCCTTACTGTTAAAATCTCTTCTTTAGACGAGTGCATGTTATCTTACTCAAACACTTCAATATTAGACAACGCGGTAGTCTTCTATATGTGGGACGAACACTTGGCAAGAAATTGGAATCAGTACAATCAGGTTCTTATGAGTTTGCTGCGGACTTTAAGTAGCATAGCTGCTTCTGGTGACTCCAGTCTAAAATTTGCTGCAGGACATGAAGAAGGACCTAACCTTCAAACCATATATGCTGTTGTTCAGTGCACGCCTAATTTGAGCGAGTCAGAATGCAAAAGCTGCTTGCTTTGGGCCATCTCAAAAATTCCAGAGCGCGGTAAAGATAGGCTAGGTGGTAGAGTTATTGTACCCAATTGTAACTTAAGATATGAAAGTGGCCGCTTCTATGCAATTACAGCTGATGTAACTTTTTCAGCTCCGCCGACCCTACTGTCTCCTCCCCCATCCACCAACACAACCTTTTCATCACCTCCTCCATCTGCCGCCACAAGATCCTCGAAAGGTACTTTCAGTAGCAGTTAAACATCCAAAACTTCCCCTTTGTTGGGATTTCCCATTCCATCTGGGAGGAATAGGTCGTTTTTAGCAGATGACTAGAGGATAAGGCTTCAAAATCAACATTCTTTTCTATTATCTCTCTTAATGAACAGGGATTTTCTTTTTCCAGGAAAGAAATCACAAACTATCATTGCCCTTGTTGTGTCAACTTCTGCAATGGTTATGCTGCTTATCTTTGCTTGGATCTGTGTAAGAGTGAGAAAGCAAGGAAGGAAATCTCCAAGTAAGTACACGACTGAATTATTGCTAACAGCATGACAAAGTTGAGCAAAGTGAAAATTTATTAAATTTCTTGTCACTTTTCTAAGGAGTCTGTTCTGCAGAACTTACTTACAGCTTAATTAAATACCATCAAACGAAATGGCTTAAACTCATTTTGCCTTGGTGAGACTGAAGCAGATGATTCAACCGAACTTACTGAGGAGTCAATACAATTTGAATTTGACACCATCAAAGTTGCTACAAATAACTTCTCTGATGAAAACAAGCTTGGACAAGGAGGATTTGGACCAGTTTACAAGGTAGACAGATACAACACTCACAAAATTATGAACACAGCACCCGTGGTCAAATCTTGATACTTGTTGTCCAACTTTCAGGGCATGCTCTTCGAAGGGAAAGAGATAGCAGTAAAAAGGTTGTCTAGTAATTCTGGACAAGGGGATATTGAATTTAAGAATGAAGTACAATTAATGGTCAGGCTTCAACACCGAAATTTAGTTAGACTCCTTGGTTTTTGTTTGAAACAAAAGGAACGACTTCTAGTATATGAGCTTCTTCCTAATAAAAGTCTCGATCACTTTTTATTTGGTAAGTTAGACATTCTATTTCTACATGAAAAATGAAAAAAATAAATGAGTAAATACTCTGACTCTACTTTATATGATTATGTCTTGGATTGAGATATAGATCCTATTAGACGTGCACAACTAAGATGGAAAACACGTTACAAAATTATTGGAGGAATTGCAAGTGGCCTTCTTTACCTTCATGAAGAATCTCAACAACGAATTGTTCATCGTGATCTTAAAGCAAGTAATATTCTCTTAGATGCGGATATGAATCCTAAGATTTCAGATTTTGGCATGGCAAGATTATTTGTTACAGATCAAACTCAAGCCAACACAGACAGAGTTGCGGGAACCTAGTAAGTATCAAAACATGGCATGTCTAATTAGTTTCTAACTGTCCTAGACCAAACAGAAGAAAACTTGAATATGACAGTCAAGAGAAATGTTACATACTGTATTTGATTACTTTGACATGCAGTGGGTATATGGCGCCAGAGTATGCAAGACATGGAAGATTCTCAACAAAGTCTGATGTCTTCAGTTTTGGTGTATTGATTCTAGAGATTGTGAGTGGCCAGAAGAATGGTGGCTTTCATAATTTGGAGAATGTAGAGCATCTACCAAGTTTGGTACGTTTTCATCCTTTTCACTATTTATCCTCCTTGGCTTTGAAAGAGTTTAGGAAATTAGTCATTATTGGTCTGCATGAAACATAAATTAAAAGTTTCGGACTAATACTTACCAAAATTGAGCAATTTGTTGCAGGCATGGAAAAGCTGGAGGAAAGGCAAAGCCTCTAACATTATAGATCCCACGTTAAGAGATGGTTCAAGAAATGAAATAATGAGATGCCTTCACATTGGTTTACTATGTGTTCAAGAAAAAGCTGCAGACAGACCAACCTTGGCTTCCCTTGTGCTTATGCTCAGCAGCCACTCCTTCTCACTTCAAGAACCCATGAAACCTGCATTTTTTATGAATGACACAAGTTTATCTGGCAGAAACTCAAGGGATTACAGAGCTGTGTCAACAAGCTCCAGCAAGAAAAATAGTAAATCTGCAGAATCATTATCAGTGAATGAGGCCTCAATAACTGATATATATCCTCGATAACTTGAGCTGTAGAGGTGACACTCTTGATCATAATTGCTAGCGTATGAGTTATTCTGCCAATATAACTAAGTGCTTTTTTTGTTGAAGAAAATGATAGAATTTTTTGAATTGCATAAACAGGAAAACAATTGCAATGTATTTTAATTCGGAAGTTCTCTGTATTGTAAGTAGGGAATGTCACATCATGGGACCAATACGGATAAAAACAGTAGTGATTCTGATTAATAAGAAACACAGAGTCTTCTGAAAAATCTACCTCTGTGTCATCTCAGCAACCTACTCATCTCACTTGTTTCAAGCATTGATTTCCAATGGTGTTTGTTCCACGAGCTATCTGCATCCCATTTATACATCAATTCAGAACTGTAGCTAATGTTTAGTAGAGATTTATTGTTTGTTGGAAGGCCAGTTGAACCTGCCAAAGTCAATGAAAAGCCCATACGAGACATTGAGTTCCCCAGTGTTATAGTATTATTTCGTATCTTTAATATAAGAGCTAGTTAACCAATTTGATTAAATTAACAAAATTAATTTAGTTATTTGTAATAATATGTGTTATTTTTTAAAAAATATTCTTACTAATCATGTGTATTAGCTAGAATTAGTATTTGATAAAAACTCTAACATGTGTAAGTATTACAAGGATTATTTTGAAAAAAAAAATGGATAAATATAAGAGAAAGAGTAAAATGATGGTCTTATATTTAAAACTAAATTGAATGTCAGATTAGTTCTTATATTAAAAACCGGAAGTAGTAGTAGTTAAAATCTCATCTCAGCTAACCAAAATATTAGTGCAGAATTTTTCACTACTATCCTTTAAGGGTGGGCCAAGAGGGGAGACCAATTACATTAAATCAGTTCGCTTGCAAATGGGGAAATGGGGATTTTCATAGAATGAGTCATATTCTCATGTACTCGTGAGCTAAACTAACAATAAAAGCTGAAGAGGTTACTGAAGATATAAAGGGCAACGTGTGCTGATGACACTTTAATTTATACCCGAAAGAGATGACCGATGATAGATGTAGCCCCAGCAAATGCCCAGCAAGTCTTTCAATGATAAAGTATTCATGACATGCTTTTCAAAATATTATAGTTGCCATAAAATCTAGTTGGAAAGTTACATTTGGCCCTAAATATATGACTATAAAACTTAACTTATAAACTGATATATAATTTAATATTGTTGAGAGGTATTTTAAAGAGATTATGTGACACTTGTTATAATTAATTAATTAATTAATTTTTTTTCATACAATTAATTTTTTTAAGTCATTCAAATTTATTCAATAGTACTTATATTAAGAATAAAACAGAGTATTTTACTTATACATATATAATATCCTACTAATGAAACATTGTATTTTTTACAGAATAAGAGGATTCCGAGTAGCCGATTAACATATATTACTTTCGGTCCCTAGCAATCTAGCATAAGAGGTGGTTGAAATTGAAATTGGTTCAAAATATGAAATCTTAATCTATTTTATTTTTCATACTTATCATTTTTTAAAATATATCTACTAATTACACATGTTAAAAAAGTTTGCAAGGAGTTTCAATCCAGATAATTTAAGAAGGTATTTTAAGGAAATAACATATATTTTTTTGACAAATAACTAATTTAACTTGTTTACTTAATTTACCTAAATTAATTAAACAGATTTTATATTAAAGAAAAAGGTAGTATGAACTGTGAACCTTCATCCATTCATCTACTTACGTTGAAACTCATCGTTCAATTTTACCAATCCGTCTTATTTGCAATATTGTGTCTACCAGCTCTTTATTTATACATTTTAAAAAATAGAAATGTCTGTGAAATATATAGATGTCATTTTTGTATTTGTATATATTCCTTATTAATATATATTATATAAATTCATTTTTTAGAGTATGAAAGATCTTGACTGGTCAAACTTATATGAAAATGCCTGCCCTGCGTTGAAGAAATTTTATTGACGGCGCACCAAAATTTTTCGTTTTATAGACGTCATTACGCAGGGAAGGTTCCCTGCAGCCTGCATATTTCAATATTCACTTTCACAACCCGCAATTTAGGAATGACAGAGAACGACTGAAGTCAATCTACCGTAGTCAATAATGCCCATTGATAGATTGTTGAACCAAGAAATAGGTGCTTTTTGTCCTCCTTTTAATATTCTTTATTTCGAGTTTGAAGAATAAATTATAACATTTATGACTTGGAAAAAAGTGTGTTATGATGCTGATGATTGGCGCTGCAGTAAGACAGTCATAGAAAAATTGTATCTTGGCATCAGAAAATGTCAAAATGTGGCTCTAATAAGAAAAGACCATTTACGCGTGACAAATTTCAAAGACAATAAAGTTACCTTTGAAATTTACCCATAATTAAGTCAAGTCAACTCTGGGGATGAGTACTTTACAATAAAAACCTCACACAGCAATATTAGTGTATTGGGTATATTGGGCTTATGTTGGGCCTAAGCCCAAATGTCTGAGTCTGAGTTTGTTGAGTAACCGTAGTCAGTTACTTTGTTATGCATTACTATGTGTATAAAGCAATCTGAAAAACCTCGCAAAGTTCAGTTGAGTTGAATAAGATTCAGAGTTAATTTCCTTTCTTCTCTGTATTAGCTAGAAATCTTGCATGGTATCAGAGCTGTGCCGTCACCGGCAAGACTCCGATCCAGTAATTACACTTTGATTCAAAAGAAGATCATTATCTTCTTGCTCTCTCACGATGTCTGAAACTAGTGGAGTTAGTGGAACTCGTGATGATGTGCAGATCTCAAATTCTGTTCCTCGCTTCTTTACAAATAAGAAGATCACTATTCGGTTGGATGATGATAATTATCTAATGTGGAAGCAGCAAGTTCAGCTTATGGCAAAACAGCACAGGCTGTTAGGTATTCTTGACGGTACATCTCAAATTCCAGTGTCCAAGATCCGAGGGGAAAATGATCAGATGATATCTAATCCGGCGTATGAGGAATTTGAGGTTCAGGATTCCTCCTTGGCGTCTTGGCTGCTAGCGTCTGTCAGTGCCTCAGTACTACCTGAGCTAGTAGGATATAATACTGCTGCTCAGATCTGGACCCGACTGGAACAATTATTCTCAACAAAGTCTGATGCTAAGGTATTATCCTACCGAAATCAACTCTCCAATCAGAAAAAAAGGAGAGCTACCGATGCAAGATTTCTTGGCTACTATAAAATCGTTGTGTGATCACCTAGCGATGCTCGGTCATCGTGTTCCGGATACAGATCAGATTTCCTATGTGTTGAATGGATTATCTGCTGAATATGAATCAGTTATCGCAGTAATCAATGCTGCTCATGGGCGCTTCTCTTTGTCAGAAATTCACACAATGCTGATTGATGCTGAAACTCGCCAGAAGTCTTTTCTTCAAGCAGCCTCTGTGCAAGTCAACTATGCAGGCTCACATTGTTCCAATTTTATTGACACTACTGAACAAGTATATGCAGTAGGCAGAGGTCACTTCACTGGGAGGGGTGGACATCCTCCTCCACCGACCTTTCAGCAACCTCTTTGTTCTTCATTTGGTAGAGGTCGAGGCAGAGGACCAGTGGTTTCTAAGCCAACATGTCAGATCTGCACAAAGGTTGGTCACACGGCTGATCGCTGTTACTTCCGGTATGAGTATACTTACAATAATAACATTCCTCATCATGTTTCCAATACTCATAATAATACTTCGACTCCAAGCGCATATAACACTGTTGCCTCACTTGATGAGTGTCATACTGTGGCCGATTGTGAGCACTCTGCTGTTCAAACAAATGCACCTGCATCTGTTCCGCAACCTGCTGCTGGTATCACTTGTCAATCAAATCCTGCTTTGGTTGCCAACTCTTCTTCTTCTCAACCTACTAGCCAATCTGCTGGTGCACAAGTGTTTCTAGCTCATCCTACTGCAGTAACCAGTGACGATGCATGGTACTTTGATTCTGGCGCCACTCAACATGTAGCTCATTCAACCAACAAAATGCAGCAAGTCTTTGATGGATCTGGCACGGTTGAAGTAGGTAATGGTCAACCTCTATCTATCTCTAACTTTGGACATTCGATTTTATCTGCTGCTAAACCTTTACATCTTCGGAACATTTTGTGTGTTCCTGAAATGAAAAAGAATTTGATGTCCATAGCTCAATTTACAAGGGAAAATCAAGTCTCTGTTGAATTCTTTCCTAATGACTGTGTGGTTAAGGATCTACAGACCCGTACGATTTTGGCACATGGTATTGAGAGGCATGGGATGTATAAGTATCTTGAAGATGCAAAGAAGCTGAAGGATCAGCAATCGTTTTCTGTTTTCAAAAGTAATAGCAACAGTTGTTTTTCTGTGACTACTTCTGATGTATTAGTTCTATGGCATCGCAGACTAGGTCATCCTTCTATAGATGTTACTAAGAAAGTTTTACATTTGAATAAGGTAGAAGTTTCTCAGAATGTAACTTGGTCAATCTGTCAGGCTTGTCAACTGGGAAAGAGTCATAAACTTCCCTTTGTACCTTCTACCACTAAATACAACAAACCTTTTCAACTTGTTATAGCTAATTTGTGGGGACCAGCCCCCGTTTTATCATCTGGGTATGCTTACTATGTTGCCTTTGTTGATGCATATAGTCGGTTCACGTGGATCTACTTACTCAAAACTAAGTCTGAGGCCTTGTCAGCTTTTAAAACCTTTAAAAGCAAAGTTGAACTTCAGTTTCAAACTAAAATAGTACAGTTTCAGTCAGACAATGGTGGGGAATTTCAAGCTTTCTCCAGGTTCTTATCTGAGGCAGGAATTGAACACCGCTTGTCATGCCCACATACCTCTGAGCAGAATGGGCTCATTGAGAGGAGGCACAGACAGATTGTCGAAACAAGGCTTACATTACTTGCTCAGGCTGAGTTACCTTTATACTACTGGCCACATGCATTCACTTCTGCAGTATTTCTTATGAACCGATTGCCTTCTCAACCACTGAAAGGCATTTCTCCCTATGAGAAGCTCTACGGTAAAGTTCCTGATTACTCTATATTGAAGGTTTTTGGATGCAAATGCTATCCATAGATTCGTCCATATAATGCTCATAAACTTGTATACCGCTCTGCTCCATGTATCTTTCTTGGCTATAGTACTCAACATAAAGGTTACAAGTGTTTGGATCCCCTAACAAGAAAATTGTATATTTCAAGGCATGTGAGATTTGATGAAAATGCCTTCTTTGCAACAACTCAAGTCAACACTCG